CTTTAAGATTAATCTTAAAGTGAATCTAACATTATGTACCAGCTTTCTTTTGAATTATAACACGGGGTGAATTTTATTGCCTTGTTCCATAATCCTTTCTACTGCATTATGATTGTTTCTTTGAAGTTTTGCATCCATTTTACAATATTGAAAGATTTTACCTGCTCTGCAATGTAGCCATTTAGCTAGCAGGTGAGCAGTTTTGGTTTTTTTGCTAACATTAGGATCTTTGTTTTAGAAGAGTTGCTCTCAAATTCTTCCTCAGAACAGCAACTGGCTAGGGTACCAGGGCTCAGTTCAGTCTGCTTGATGTTCATGACAGAACACTATGTTGCCTGCATACAGTAGGCTTGCAGTGCGCCTATTGAGTAATGTCGCAGCTTGGTTTTCTATTTTAATTTCAATTTCCCTCTCCAGAGAGTAAGGTGATTTCCTAGAAATGTTCTTAGTATTTCCACACACTTCCTTATATTGACCTTTTTTACACACAAATACATTTTTGGACGTTTAAAGCTTATGTATCAATCCTGTAATATATTATTGGCTCTTACTTTTAATTTTTTGTAAACTTCCCATAGTCATTATGACTGGGTAATGCATTTAACACACACACATAACATTCTTGGATCTTGAATGTTTAGACATTTGCTTTGCATCCTTTATAAATAGATCCTGTAGCTTCATTTGAAAAGGGATGTAGTGTTTCATATTTAATCTATAGGTCTGTGCAAATCCTTCTCAAAAATATTGCAGAACATGGGAAGAACTTTTAAAAAAATGGCAAAGCATGCCTTTTTCCACTAAGCCTAACTCAGGGTGCATTCAGTTCTTTGTTCAATTATGTCACTTATCACTCCTAAAATTTTCCATCAAAAGGATATAGGTTTATTGCATGAACACCACAAATGAAAAAAATGACCTTTTTTCTTACAGTCTCTGAAACGTTTGGAAGAATAATTTTTATATACGTGTGTGCCAATCTGACTGGAGTCAAGTGCCAGCAATGTATAATCTTCCACTGCAGTTCTTGCACTGATGCTGAGGTGAATCCAGCTGTTTTCCACAATTACTGCCAATTTGTCTCCTGTAGGCTTACTGCATTTATTTACAGGACCAAACATCAAGCTGAAAAATAAGGAATTAATTATCTATTTAATTGTAGCAGCTAAAATCATAATTCCATAATATCATCCACAACAATTGACATGTGGATTAACAAGACTGCTTCAACTGCCACATTAGAAAAAAATCACAAAGTTAAAATGATGAGATGTCAAAGGCAAGAGCCACAATTTTGTGGAGTCCTTGGGGTTCTCTGAGCTTGGCTTTTTTCTCGCAAACATTTCATTACCCAGCTAGGTAACATCTTCAGTGCGAGAATGGGATGGGGTTTGCTCTCTGTTTATATTGTGGCATGCCCTGCCAGTGTTGGTGGGGCTGCGGGTTTTGTTTTGTTTCATTTTTTCTCTTCTGGGAGTTCCTTGATTAGGGTATTGTTTACTGCTTATTAAACTTACTGTTAATCTCTGATTAACACCAAGATTATCACAGTACCCTAATCGAGGAACTTCCAGAGGGGGAAAAAACAAATCATGGCAAGCTTGACTTAAAAATGGCAAGCTTAAAACCCAGCAATTTTGATGGTTCTTTTTGGCTCAGTAATACCTAAAATTTGAAACCTATCATATTTGACTTAATCATGGCAAGCTTAAATCTCATTAATTTTGATAGTCCTTTGTGTGTCTGTGTGTCTGTGTGTGTGTGTGTGTGTGCGCCTTCAAGTCAGTGTTTGACTCCTGGTGACTGCCTGGACAAGTCCTTGCAGTTTTCTCGGCAATGTTTTTCAGAAGTGGTTTGCCAGTGCCTCCTTCCTGGGGCTGAGAGAGCATGACTGGCCCAAGGTCACCCAGCTGGTTTGTGCCTAAGGTGGGACTAGAACTCATGGTCTCCTGTTTCTAGCCCAACACCTTAACCATTTCACCAAACAGGCTCTCTTTGATGGTCCTACTCATGGTTTAATCTAAATCCTACCCAGTGTTTTAATCCATACTGTGGAACTAATTCCAAATATAAGCCAAGTTAGAGATTATCACTTTTGAACCAATACTTCCTGTTTTCTCAATGTTCAGTATAATCTTGATAAAGACGAGAGGCAGATGACCTCCACTAAACTCCATATTTCTGAGGGTGTCTCTATATATTTCTCTGGGTGTTTGATGAAGAGCAAGGGGAGGAATTTAACACTTTTTCTCCACAGGGCTATCAGAAGGTTTACTTTGCTGAATCTTCCAGCCTATTTGCTTTGGTGTTTGCATTTGGAGGGATTGAGGGACAAAAGGAATCCCTAAGCATTAGAGATGCTCATCAGCTATAGGCTACAAAAGCCTGATGCCCATTAGATAGTAAGGGAGAGATACAGACACTAAGCTGTTTACTGCCATCCAGACTTTTGCAGTCCAAGAGTATTAGCTGTAGGCTTGAGGCTTGGGCCAATTTTCCCTATTTTGGGAATCTAAGGGGCAAAATGCAAACACTGCAGGGTTTTCTCTATCAGTGGAGGAAGCCACAACACCAAAAGGCATTTCACTGTCAGTGCCCTCTGCTACAGAAGCAAGTCTCCGATTATTATT